CTCTAGTACTTTTACAGACATTGAACACCCGCTCGAGCGCGACCCGCTCGAGCGTAAGGAAATCCGCTTGAGCGTGAAAAATGCACCTGCAGTAGTTTTGCAGAGGCACAAATTGTTGAAAATGTGTAAACTTCGCTCGAGCGTAAAGGGACCCGCTCGAGCGGATCACCAAAAATCTGGGCAACAAGGAATGGAGCTAAAGCTCGACCAACCTGTTCGAAACACGCCCAATACATTCTAAAACTCAAATATAAGGAATTAAAGGATGACAAAAGGCATATACAACAACCAACTCCACGGAAACCTAAGTCCGGATACAACAATCAAAGAAGGAAGAACTAGGATCGCTATAAAGAGGTATGTCATAACTTAGTTAATCTCATTTAATCAGGTTTAACTTTTTTTTAATACAATTTATCAAAATTGCACTAAATATATTTATATATATATATTTTAATTTTTTAAACTAATAATTTAAAATGTTAACTTATAAATTTCATATATACTGCAAGATAAAATATTAAATTACTCCAAGATAATTATAATAATTTTTTTTTAATTTATAAAGTCTCGTGTATAGCACAGTTTACCACAAGTAAATTATATAAATTAAAAAAATATATACTTAAAATTCATAAATTTAACATAATATAGGGGTTGTTTGGGATGATTTATATAAGTGCATTTTTTAATTTTTTGGCTAAAAAAGTAAAGAGAAAAAAGATATATTTTTGGAATAATTTTTTGACTTTTTACGAAAAATATATGTAATAAAATATTGGGAGATTGACCAATAGGTCTCATATTTTAGACTTGTAATCCATATAGTCTCATATTTTTTCTTGTGATCTATTTAGTCATTTTTGATGTGTAATGACTCATTTACTTGTCACCTTGGAGTGTTATATTTGAAAAAAATACACGAAAGAGATTTTAATTTTTTTAGAGTGTTACATTATACCCGCCACATTGGATTATCACATGTCACATTTTGGAAAAGTACGATAAGGAGTTTTTAATTTTTTTTAGAGTATCACATCATACATGCCACATTGTCACGTTTGAGAAAAGTATACTAAAGAGTTTTTATTTTTTTTGAAGTGTCACATCATACGTGCCATGTTATTACGTTTGAAAAAAGTACACTAAGGAGTTATTATTTTTTTTGGAGTAAAATTTTTGGAATGTCATATCATACCCGTCATGCTGTCACATTTAGAAAAAGTACACTACGAGCTTTTTAATTTTTTTGAATTGTCACATCGTTGGAGTATCATTTTAATACCTGCCATATTGGATTCAAATTAGATTTGTTTAGATAAACTTTAAAGATTTTTAAAATTTAAAATTGGATATTGAGATGCAAAAGAAAGATTTTAATTGAATAAATAAAAATCAAATTCATTAATTTTATCTGTTTGTGTGTTTGATTTTTTATTTTTTTTTTATTTTTAGTTTAGTTTTGTTGTATTATAATGCAATATATAAGATATAGATAGATATCTATAACTTCCATAAAAAATATTATCTCATTTTTTTCTTTGATTTTTTGGGAAAGAAAGAAGGTTGGCAAGTTTTAATTTTAATTTTGTTGAAAATCAGTGAGAGATATTAGGATTGAGAGATTATGAAATAAATAACACTATATGTACTAATTAGTGTACACACTAGTGTACCAACAGATGATGTGACATAATTTTAGAGGTTTTAGGTATTTGTAATTTGTATAATAAATAGGGTCATTAATGACATCATAACACTAATTGGTACACTAGTGTGTATACTAATTGGTGCATGTAGCATCACCGTTATGAAATATTTTTGTTCTTAAATAGATAAATCAGTCAATAGTTTTTTTTAATCTATTTTCTAAATTAAAAAATCAATAATTTTAAAAAATTGATTGATTTGTCCCATTAAGTGATTTAAAACTTTGATAGATATACATCAAAAAAATAGATAATTATATTACTAAATCATAATTCAAATTTAGATATTGTTATATCTTTTTGAGATCCATAACTAAATTCTTATCTTCTTTATTTTTGTATGTAACCATAGTATATGAGAGAAATTGAAAATGGTGCTGTAGTAATTATAAAAGAAATCAAAAGGGTTTGAGAGTTAGAAGAAGTCAATAAATGTTGAGATTTTTTTTTTGTTAAATCAAAAAATTAAAAACTTAGGATTAGGATATTGGAGCTCACAAAGCTTGTAAATTAGAAACCCCATGTTCCTTATATAATACTAGTGGTAACCCGTGCTATGCACGATATAACAACCCAAATTTTTAATTATTCTGTAAAATTTATACTAATATTATTTAATCATAGTTGAGAAAATATACGATTTATTTTGTATTATTATATGTAATTTTGTAAAATAATATAATTATTAAGAATTTAGGGGTCAAAGTATAAATAAATAACTAATTAAACTTATCCATTGCAGAGCTTAGTGATAACAGCTAAATAGGGGATACGTGGGTGGCTACGTGTCACCTAAAGCTTGCCGAGCAAGCCTTGCATCTTGTATAAAACGAAGAGTTAGGAAAAAGACGAAGGAAAAAACAAATAGAGAAAGGGAAAGAAAGTAATGAATTCTAAGAAGGTTTCGATGGTAGAAAGAAAGAGTAAGGTATTAATTTTAGGGAAAGTCTACAATGTGCACCTTATAAAAGGGCATATAATATGCACTTATTGTGTGGTCCATATCGTGCCACATCACAAAAAGTGACCTTCTAAACCGGTCATGTAACAGGTTATAGAAAGAATCATAACTTTGTTTCAAATATCATAACAATACTACAATGAATCATAACAATGTCATAATATTCACCTAAGTGTCATAACAAAGACACTATAAATCATAACAATATAATGACAACTCATAACAAATATAGTTATTTGTAATTAATTGTCATAACATTTGAATCGTAACATTTTTTATTATGATTCACCATGACAAATCGTAACTTTTGATAGTACAAATCATAACTTTTACTAATGAATCATAACCACAACTTTTTTCTCCACAATCATAATAAGATTAAAAAAATGTCATAACTTTGACTAATGAATCGTAACATTATAAGAATTTTCACTTTTGACGACTAAATTTTTAGTCGCCAAAAGTTAATTTTTAGTCGCCGAAGGGTTTTAGCGACTAAATTATTTGGTCGCGAAAGTAGTCATCAAAGAATTATCAGTAAAGGTAATTAGCGACTAAAATTATTTAGTCGCCGAAGGGTTCCACATGTTGCAATTATTTCTTTTCTCTTACACCTTCCCTTGAACAAACCCATTTCCTACTCTCTACAAATTTGTTGTCTCTAGTAAATTAAAAAATATATATTTAAAAAAGAAAAAGAAAAAAAAGAAAGAAGAAGAAGCATGTGTATGTAATGCATGGGTATGGCAAATGAAGGTAGTGTCTAAAATGTATGTTATGTTCACCTTTTATACCACCATGTCATCAAGTCCCATTCTTCTATCTTTTTCTGATTAAAAAGAATTAAAAAAATTATGATTGTATATGCAAAAAAAACCAAAAATAGTATACCAAATGTCGGGAATCTGGGGATAAGTGACAACTTCATTGTTAGCTAGGCTTCTTTTTTTCCCTTGCTTGTTGAGTGGAGAAACTGTAAATTAAAGTAGCTTTAATTGCCTTGGAATTCCATGATATCTCCCACCACATACATTTCAATTTATACACACTTAATATACACTTGATTAATCAGGAAACGTATCAGTATTAGATAAAGTATAATGATATTAAAAATATCAAATTATAGTTGTGGTTTTTTTTTTTTCTAAATCATCAGTAGCAAAGTTTTTTAGCCCAACTAGTAAGCTTAGATATGGTGATAATGTTATTATTTATAGTATACCTTCAACAATACTAAAAACCACAACAGCTATGAACATAACCTTAGTTTGAAATGAATCATGTAAACTTTGTATTCTTTGTTTGCACGTGTGATTTATCTTTTGTGTGTTTGTTTTTTTTCTTTTTTCTTTTTTTGGTGTTTCGTGTCATCAATCCCATTTAAGTATCATGAATTCCTAACAAACATATACTATAAACACAAATTATTTGGCAGAAAAGTGAATCGAATTCTTGTGGAGTGTGGGCTCATCAGCAATACTGCATTTTGTACTTTTCTATAATAATTGGTGTTTGTATTGTTACTGAGATTTGAAAGGAGCATTCCATTGCTTCATAATCAAGGTCTGACATGGATGATATAGATCAATGAATAATGGAGGATAGGGCTATGAATGTTAGGTATTAACCCGAGAGATAGAGATACATGCTTGTCTGCAATCCAAGAGGCACTGCTGGAAAAATGATATTTAGCGGCGTTTTAAAAACGCCGCTATATGTATGAAAAACGCCGCTAATTCATGTAGTGACGCTTATCACCAAACGTCGAGGACGCGGCCGTCGCTAAAACGCCGCTAAATGCGATAAATAATGATAAAATGACGTCATCCTATATTTAGCGACGTTTTTAAAACGCCGTGATAGATTTTTTATTTTAAAAAAAATGTCCGTTGGCACTGTAGTGGCGTTTTGAAAAAACGCCGTTATAGCTTTTTTTTTTTAAAAAAATTATTCTGAATCTGTTATATTTAACTAAAAAACATACCTGTAATAAAGCTGAAAAATAACAAAAACATATTCTGTGTTCCACATATTATAGTGGTTGAATTAAGCAAAAATTTAATTTATATTTTTTCATATTCTTTTTTGCTTTTATATTTTTAAAGTCATAAGCAGTGATCATTGATTCAATGATAAAATCTTAGTCTAAAAATCTTTGAGATTATGAGTTTAAGTCTCGGAACAATCATTTTTTATACTATGCACACGGTATTTCTGTCAAAAGAAATAATAGTTCTTTGGAAAGATAAAAATCAGCTTTGATTTCTTTTCCCAATTATCATTTTAAATGTATAAAAACTGTCAACAAGCATATGGAGAAATTGAGAACATCAATAATTTTAGAATACACTATTCATCTGATAAGTATAATCAATTTGAATGTTGTAAACACCACAAGTTTTACGACATGCTGGTATAAACTTCTAGATAGCATCTTTTCATTTTTCTCAACGGCCCCATTTGGTGCTTCGAAATGTAGGGGGAAGGGAAAAGGAAAAATTTGATATTAGTGATGTTGTTTATACAACACTTCAACAAACACAATCTCATTAGTGTTTTCATCCATCTTAACTTCCTTAAGTATTTAAAAGTAATAACTATAGACCCATTAGTCAATAATTTCCACACACAGTATTCATATTTACTGTGGCATGCTTTATCAATGATTATTAATACTGTCAACATGTTTTGGTGTGCTCATTTACTTCGGCTCCGGTACTAGTAAAGGCCTAATTTGTGGAATTTAATTCAAAACTTTAACAATGGTCCAGGTCAAATTATGACACAAAACCATATCACTTCTGCCTATAAAGGGATCACAATCTCACCATTTTCATTTAGCTTCAGCAGCAGTTGTTCCCACGTTGGGAGAGCACACATTCCAGCATAAACTGCTGTCCTGACTGCCCATGTATGGTATGGTGCACAAACTTGTGCATAAGCTGCTGAGGCTGCTTCTTTTAAAGAGCAATACCTAACAGAAACACAAAAAATAAATCAAATAAATGAGATTTTGTTGCCAAGGAGAAACAAAAGCAAAGATTGCAATAAATCAGATAAATGATGACAGAGTCGGAAACCATCAACAAAATAATTCAAGAACTAGAGTTGATCTTTGAGTCTAGTAAGACCAAATGCTTCTTGAATATGAAGTTTCTTGGCATGCTTTGCATGTGTGTTTTTGTTCATTAATATGTTGTCTGTGTCCTTGCCTTTAGCTTGAGATGGGAATAGCAGGCAGATGCAAAACAGGAATAGAGCACTGAAATATTTAAACTCATTGAATTAATTAGATTGTACAACTTGTTTCAGAAAATATCTTTATGGATTTATGATTCATCTAAAGCAGACTAAACATAAAGTGACAAAACACAAAGAAAGAAAAGAATGACAGCAAGAGAGTAGATAATCTGGTAACACACTACTCAATGTCCAAAACCAAAGATTCTTTATTACATCTAGTGGAGCAATAATATGCATCATCAAAGCACATATTATATCAACGAGCCTGAATAGGAGGACATAAATTTTTCCAAATAACAAGTGCCAGGAAACATTTTAGTAGATGTGAGAGAAGGAAGATACTATAAAAGAGAGGAACATACTCTGAAGACAAAAAATTTTCGAATATAGCTCTGATGAGGTCGAGACCCTGCCTAACTCTGCGTAGATTACATGAAAGGCTTCCTTGTGTTCTCACTGTGTCATTTTTGACATCAACGTCAAGTACGTTATTTAAAGTGCCATACATATTTGACGCTTCCACAAGATCACGCACCTGGAAGTGTCAATCAAAGCATTAGATCCAACGAGCATTTTTAGATTGGAAATTAACAGGGAGAAGTAACAAACTTTGGATTGAAATACACAAGGAATCCATCTTTGCATTATATTTATGTAAATATGGCATTTCACCTTTAGAAGGCAAGATTTTATCATTGAATCAATGATCACTGCTTATGACTTTAAAAATATAAAAGCAAAAAAGAATATGAAAAAATATAAAATAAATTTTTGCTTAATTCAACCACTATAATATGTGGAACACAGAATATGTTTTTGTTATTTTTCGGCTTTATTACAGGTATGTTTTTTAGTTAAATATAACAGATTCAGAATAATTTTTTTTGAGGCTTTATCTGATATGTCGCATTGGGTGTCTGGTTTTGAAGGTTTGTCCTGTAAAGTTCTGTTCTGAGATGAATAGGTTCTTAACATTCATACATGTTTTTTTTTTGTCTTGCTTGTTATAATGTGCTTAATAGAGGAAACATCTGCAACTGGTCATGAGGGCCTGGATCAGTCATCTGAGGGATGGCTAGCTGATTGCTTCAATAATGATGAGATGCATTGCAGCCCTGATGATCTGTATATATCTCTCAACTTTTCAATTCAGTCTTCTTCATCTTCTCCCTTATTTTATTAAAAAAAAAAAATTATGTTTCTTTTTTGTTTATTATGTATATAAATTATGATTCAACCACTATAATATGTGGAACACAGAAATCTGTCTGGGCCATCCGATGTTCAAATTGATATTTCAGGTAAATGAAGTAGTATTTTCCATTCAATGTGTTGATTATTTTTTAATTTCTATTTTCCTTGCACTTTTATTATTAATAATTCTAGATTATGTTTAAATAAGTCCTCAATTTATTATTTTTTTTATTCTGCTTTCAGTGCAAGCCTTTTCTGGTATTTTTTATGTAGTCCTCTTTGCAATTTAAAATCACTGTTAAATTGTGAATTTCTTCAGAATGCAGTTGGTTCTCATTTATACCCTCAGAATCCAGTCCTCCGCCTTGGAAGTCAGCTCAACTTCAGTGTAGAAGGTTGGTGTATGATAAAATTTTACATTAATTTTTAGTTGGTCACAACTAAAACTCACAAATCCATTTCGGAAATCTAGATCTAAAAGACAACATTGAATTAATGTTTAAAAAGCCATACTAATTGTATATGTCAGGTAGAAATCTTAGTCTGAAATTGATGAATAATTCAAATGCTATTTTTTTTTGTCTGAAATCTATACTAAACCATTGGAACAGCTTAGCTCAGCTAACTCTAATCCTTAAGTTGGATGAAGACAACAACTTTGAATACATCCATAGTTTTTTGAATTCAAGGACTGCTACTATGTCCTTAGCCTAATTTGTGTTGTGGGCTTCTATTTAAGGCTTAAATTTTCAAAAATTTCATTGTCGCGCATGTTATTCTTGTCATGAAATATACAAAATCTCTCTAAAAGTAGACTTTTCCACGAACATTCCTAGCTTTTAAGGATATCAAAAAGTAAATCCAAGTGCATAAATGATTTTCACATAATCAGTCACAGATGTAAGACAAAGGATGAGTCCCACACACGGTCGACTTCACACGTGGAATCCATATTTTGTTTCACGCTATGTCTCTTTCTATGAAAATTTCCTGTGTTCATACAACAGCTGATGCTGAAATCCCAAATCCAAACCACTGTAATTTTCTTTCTAATAGGAAAAACAAGCCACCAAAAGAGTAATTGTTACAAACATAAACAGATTTCAATAAACAAATAAAAAATTACAGTCTCATATCAGTTACATGAGTACAAAATTCAATTATCCACACATCAGATTTCACACACTCAAGCCAAATTTCAAGTAAATACACATCAGATTTCAACCGATTCAATTCATATTTTCCTAATTTTATAAACCAACCTAGTGAGTTCACAATGGTGAAAGGGGCAGTTTCGAAGAAGGGAATTTCAATCTAGGGTTTCATAGAATGGAGATGGAGAAAGGGAGAGAAACAAGTTGCAGCGAGAGAGAGAGTTTGAGAGACATACCTTGAGGCGAAGTCGAGGGCACGTTATGTTCGCGGGATAGTCTTCGAGGGCGAAGAAGAGCTTCGAAGTCGTGTCTGAAAGAAAGCTCTGAAGTCGTGTCTGAAGAAGGCGAAGAGGAGCTTTGGAGTCGTCTCTGAAGAGAGCTCCGGAGTTGTGTCTGAAGAGGGCGAATAGGAGCTTCGGATTGGTCTGAAGAATAACAGTTTTGGGAAAACAAAGTGAAGAGGGTTTGTGGAACATACAACAATCCGTGAACAAAATTGTAACCGGTTGAGCGGGTATTCAATATTTTCAATCAAATTATTTGATGGTTGAGATTAATTTATAAATATCTAATGATTTAAAATAAATGTGTACATGATGTGCACTATTTAATAAGGTGCACATCTTAACAGCTCCCTTAATTTTAAGGTGAGTTATATTATATCTTGAGTCGCCATAATATATTTTACGTATGTTTTTAGCTACCAGAATTCATTTTATATAAGTTATATTTATAAATTATTATAGATTATATTAATATTTTAATTACGTAGATTAATTTCTGAACTCTATTGGTTAAAATGAAAACCATGGATATATTTGTCTAAATTTTATAGAATATTTGACTATGACCTTATAAACAATTATGTTTTGCTAGTGCCACCACGGGAGTCCCATGCCTTGGGGACTTAAATAACCATTGGCCTCTGTTTGGTCATTTTGTGGTCGTCTATTGTCATGGATCTATTGACCTCTGTTCTGTGTGGAGCAAAGTGTTGTGCGAAGATAAGTGCTACACTATTGTAGGACCCACCTTTATAATCCATACGAGCCACCTCTTGAGTCCGTACCTCTGTATTGTCATGAATCCATTGACCTCTGTTCTGACTGTCACCCCTGTGACCTCTGTTCTGTTTTGTTCGGTATCGTGGTTATAGTTATTTATTTACATAATCTCAGTTTTATTACTTAAATGATTATTTGTTCAAACTAAGTTATCTTAAATATTTTAGTTACATAACTCTCCATGGTTATTTTGTGTCCTTTATACTCTTGACATAATATTTCTCACTCTATCATGTGCTTATAGTTGTTTACCAATTTGCAGGAAACAATGCAATTCATAATGTAACGCCTTCAAAATAATACATATAAACCCAACATTCATGATAGACATAGACATGAGAATAAAACATATTTCCATTCATCAGAGTATTCTTACAAAAAGTAATACATGTTGACAACAAAAGTAAATGCCTTGTAGGCTTATAACTTTCCAAGTCAACACTTGGTTACAACAAAAAAAGAGTTCTAACTCTCTACACGAATAAGCCCGTGGCTTGAATTTACATGTATCACCAGAATATTAAAATAACCAAAAGAGTCTTCAACTCCCAAAACCATCCAAGCTAAGGCCTTGGGGGCGGCATAACACTTGAACCTGAAAATGATGTCCTATATAGGGTGAGCCAACGCCCAGTAGAAATATGCTAAACATAATATGAGCAATAACTAAAACATTGGCATTTGATAAATGTTTAACTCATATAAACAAATATACATCTCCTTCCATTTCATTGCCCAAACCAATTCATAGATATGGTTCCTTATTCATCCAGACAGTTCAAATGAGACTACAGCTCATATCAACAATACTTTGATTATGATCAATTAACATGAGACTACAACTCACATAATTAACACTTCAACACTTCAAGTTCAAATGAGACTACATCTCATATTATCATCATTTCAATACTTCAATTTATCTACGTTATACAAACGCAATTAGGATTTCGGGACTTTCATCCTGGACACTCCGACCAACTTAGTTCTCACTGGAGTCCATCCCCTATCTCCTCCCAAATCCGATTTAGGAGTGCATCCCCTATCTCCTCCCAAACAGTGGAGTCCATCCCCTATCTCCTCCCAAATCCGATTTAGGAGTGCATCCCCTATCTCCTCCCAAACAGTGGAGTACATCCCATATCTCCTCCCAAATCGTGGAGTACATCCCCTATCTCCTCCCAAACAATATACATATACAATGTATTTAAACACTTATCATATACAATGGTCAAGCCAAGCACACATTCAATCTATTATTCCATCCGTCATATTCAATGACATATTCAATTGATTAGTTTTAATTTACCTAATCATCATGCAGTGTCTACAACAATCAAGACTATCCTCCAGCGATAGCCCAAAACAATTATTTCTAAATAGATAATAAATTATCAAACAGATAAATTATCTACAATTTCAAAGGTGAGTGATCTATCAATCCAACTCCACCATTAAACCTCATAATTACCCAATTTCATTATTTCCAACTCAATTTCATATTTCCATAACTTTTCCAAATTAATTATACAAATTAATTCATCACAATATATTAGGGTTTTTCTCCCCCTTTTCTCAACATTGACCCAAAGGTCCAAATATCATCGATAAACACCAATAACCTCATTTTAAGACCCAAAATACACATGTATTGGTCAAAAGAACAAAACCCCTCTTTATACATTTTGAAAGCCTAACACCCAAAACTTCCCAACTTTAACATTAAATCAAAATGATCACAAGTTTATGTCAAAGATCATAAATATGAGTAGTAATTTCTACCTCAAATGAAGAGACCCAAAGGAGATGATGAACAAACTCGAAGATGCTCCAAACCCACAAATTTTCGGATCAAAATGGAGGTCTTGGAGAGCTCTAACACTTTAATGAAGGCACAAGGGTTGAATCTCACTAAACCAAGATCAAAATGTAGAGAGAGAGAGAGAGTTGTAGAGAGATGAGCTCTCAAATTAGGATTTTGAAAAGCTTGAGAGAGAGAATGACCCGAAAAAGTGATTCAAAATGCTAAAATTTGGACTGATATAATACACAGTTCGCTTGAGCTTGGAACGCCCCGCTCGAGCGTCAGACACAGACTCACGCTCGAGCGTGAAAAGCGCCGCTTGAGCGTCGAATGCATACTTCTAGAAGTTCTGCAGACGAAGGTCTCCGTTGGAGTGTGAAAGTGGACGCGCGAGCGTCCGACGACCTGTAGAGAAAAATACTGAAGGTTGAAAAATCCCGCTCGAGCGTCGGAATGCCCACTCGAGCGGAGGAGCAAAAGCAAAAGGCCCGCTCAAGCGTCAAAAGCCCCGCTTGAGCGTGAAGGCCAAAATCTGGGCATTAACTCTTTGTTTCTAAACACAACCAACTTGTTTCAAACCAGCCTAACACAACCCAAAACTCAAATACAAAGAGTAAATGATAGAAATGAGGATAAGACAACAACACACATACACGGAACTGAGTCCGGAACACAATAAACAAGGAAGGAAAAATCGGGATCGCTATAACCTCTCCCTTTTAAAGAATTTCGTCCCCAAAATTAGATATATAAAAGTTTTCAAAAGTATGATTTCTCAATTCTCAACACATTATAACTCAACATTCATCAACTTGACCCAATACTGGCCATCCCACCTCTTTTCAAGAGGCAATTTACAATATATTTTCAATATGCATTATCAACATGCTTTCCTTTGAAATTCAACAATTTCAACACAAGTATTCCACAATTCAATAGCATATTCAATGTCAACAATATATTTGCATTTCCAAAACATAATTAACATATGCAATGTTAAAGTAAACTTCCATTTCCGAACCATATTCAATGGCTATAACATTTCCACAATCTAAAACATATATAATGTTTCCAGAAGTCATTAACAAAACAAAATCCCCAATACATAACATTAACAAATAAGTCCGGGTATTTCTCGCGAACCTGCAACTCACGTTCCCAAGTGGCTTTCTCCACTCCGTGATGTTTCCACAAAACTTTCACCAAGGGTATCGTCCTGCCTCGCAAGACTTGACCTCGCCTATCCAAGACCCGTACCAGTCTCTCCTCATACGAGGCATCCTTGTCTACTTCTAAGTCGGTCCAATCCAATACATGTGACGGATCCGGCTCGTGCTTCCGAAACATGCTAACATGAAACACGTCATGCACTCTGGATAGCTGCGGCGGTAAAGCTAAACGGTATGCACCCTCCTCAATCCGCTCAAGGATCTCAAAGGGGCCAATAAACCGAGGGGACAACTTCCCACTCTTCCCAAACCTCATCAAGCCCCGCCTAAGTAATATTTTCAAAAATGCATGATCGCCCACCTCAAATGCCAAAGGCCTACTCCGACGGTCGGCATAACTCTTTTGGCGACTCTAGACTGTAACATGTTTAATAAAATTAATTAAAAG